CAATAAGTTTATATAATCTGTACAGATTTATATACATCAAGCATATTACCATAATATGAACAAGCTGTTATGTTATGACATATATGTTACAGGAATATAATGCCTTTTTCAAGATGCAATGCTTATTTTTAGGTGATTTTAGTTGATTTAAAAGCCAATATTGGGGGGATTATTCCCAATTAAAATCTGGTGAAATTCTTACATGAGCCTGTTCAGCACCTATTTTTGAAAATGTCTTATTATCAAATTCCGGGATATTTATATGAAAATCTTAAGTTAGTCAACTGTATCTTGGTCATGCTGCATGACAATGTCAAATGCTTCCCATATTAAAGGATAAGGGTTTAATAGGTATATTTTCTTCTCAATTGCTTGACAATTCCAAAACCAGCACAGTTCTGTTAAAGATGGATATTGTTTGCTTGATCTGTTTCTATTTACAGTACAGATAGAGGCATTGTTTTTTTTTTTTATATATTCTAGCACCTAAACTAACATCACATGTAAATTCTTGTTTTGAGAAGACAAAACTGCTAAAATTCCCAGATTCAAGGGAATGGGTCATATTTGCAAAATACTGAAAAATTATTATTACCCTCTGATGTTTCACAATTTTAGCATAATGTTGGTATAGACACCGAGAGGATTAATATAATGAAGTAAGCATTAAACTTAAACTGTATTTTGACCCGACTATGACCGTAGAACATCATTTCTTTCCAGGTAATAATGTTTATTAACCATACTTCGGGTTATGACCTGCCTCCTTATAAAAAAAACCCATCACAGGTATGATCAGAGCTGTGTATATTTATGTTAAAACAAATGAACAAAGAAACTGAATAAAATTAGCAATCATTTCCAGCCCATTAAATATTATGTGAAAAAATATGAATTATATTGAGAAGAATATAAAGAGAGATGGCCACAACAACTGTCAAAATACTAAGCTGGTAGAGGCTTGTACTGGTGATTTTTACATCTAACTATTCTCATAACCACCATGGGTTTTATGGGAATTGACAGTTTTTGATCACTTAGATCTAAGGTGGTCCAGTATGTATTCATCATACAGTTTCTTGTCATCTCTTTATAATAAAGCTGAATTTTATACCTATGAACAGTGCCTCCAGGCAAACTTTTTTGTACCTTTTTTTTCTTTTCTCAGTTTCTCGGTTCATCAGTTTCATGGAGGATAACAAAAATCACATTTAATGAGTACAAAGCATCGAAATAGCAAGAAAGCTGTCTACTAAATTTGGCAGCCAGTTAATTTCTGCCTTTGTTACAGAAATTATAAATAAATGGCTTGAATTCCGAGCAACTGTAACACTGAGGGGAGAAAAAAACATATTGCAATGGAACTTGTTTGACTGTCTGAAGGTTTTTCTTCATTCTGAGTAAGATATTAATTAACTCTTACTCTGTTTAGCTTTCTAAATTGTTTGCTTCAAACAGTACATTAACAATTTTTGGGATATTATTATCACAATGAAAATTACAAAGTTGGTCATCTAACAGTGAAAGCCTGGTCAGAGTATGTGGATGTGCATAAAGTCTTGCCTGATACTATTCTAATAAGCCATTAAGGCTTTGACATTTCACCATCAGATCTTTGAAAACACATGTAAATACAATACATGTACTCATTATCCTAAAAAATACTACAATGTACGAGGTTATGCAAAACTTTGATAGTTCAAATGCATTATTAGCGTCGGTGTTTAAAAGTCTTTTTATTAATACATGTATTTAAAGCACATAAAGAACACAAGGCAGTATCAATGTACGTTTTTAATTCTTCCATGCAAAATTTTTGGAGTAAAGATAATTTTGTTGTTTTTTTAACTAATTACAAATGTACATCTAGCCATAAACAATGGCAATTGAATTAGGTTAAGTAAACATTTATTACTCATATCTGCTTAGTAAACAGCTAATTTCTTCAGGAGTATAAATAAAGTTTTTACCTATCATTTTTTGAAAGAGTAATTAACCTTTTCGTAAAAATGATGACGTTTGATAATTGAAACAATTCAAAATTAGTATCAACAATGCATATGCAATTATTACAGAAAAAAACTGTATAAAAAAACGCCAAGAGAAACAATTTTGTACAACAATTTTTACCATGTGACATGTCAGAAAGAAATGGGGTTGATATTTCACGAATGTGTTTCCAATTAACCCCCCAAAAAACAAATCCAATTTACTTATGGAAATTGTATAGTTGGCATTAAACAATTCTGCATTATTATGTATCTTGTTTAAATTTACTTAAGCATGCAAATAAAGGTTTCATTATTGCTATCGGCTGAAAAATCTAGCAAAAGCTAATATGCATGTTACATAATATTGCTTCTGAATGGAAATTCGATCCATAGTTAAAGCCCTGAGAGATTTTCTGACCAAATGTTTTCAATTGTCAATTATTTTTCTAGTGATGCATTTAGTTATACAATTGAAAGCTGCATTACTGCTTGAAATAAATATGCTGAGAACAAAAAATGTTTTGGAATCTATGAATGGGGAAATCAAAAGGTAACAGAGGACTGGCGCAAATCATCTAAAAAATTTATGTAAAAATGATGAAAGCAGGCAAATGTCTTAGAAGCTTGAATAGTACTGAGAAAACATATCTAGGAGTAGAAAGAAAAAGAGTATGTACAATTTGGAAAAGACAAAGAAAAGGGAAATGATGGCAGCATAGTATGGGTGGCCACAAATTACACAATATTTTATTTTAGATTGCTCAGACGGTATTCAAATATCAGACCATAAGATTAGTTAATACTTATTTCAATCATTCATATACACAATATTTTACATAAACAAGGCTAGTTTAAAATCAGTTAGGAAATAACAGAACTATGCAAAATATTCACATAATCAAAAAAAAAATGAAAAGAAAAACGAAATATTTTAAAGCTCTGCAACAATGCAACAAATAAATAAACGGGCAGACAGACTTAAAAAGACCAACATTATTTCCTACATGGTGAATCCATTGAACCTTTTACAGATAAGCTGTACAGTATCCAAGAAATAATGACAAGGTGTTGGCAAGAGAATTTTATAATATTCCAATCCAATCATTTTTTTACGCTGCTACATTAGTGAAGATACTGCACAAATACAATAATGCTGATAGATCAGCTAAGCTAGACAAAGATCGATCACTTAATTAGAACAATTGGTAATTTCTTACAATATATTCAATCTACTCTTTGATATTCAAACCCTGAAAGCCGTCTGTTGATTGAATTTTAATTACTCCTCTGCAAATGGTGCATTTTCAACAAAGGGAAGTTACTTCGATTTCACTATTATTTCCTATTTTTGAATTATCATAATATATTATTATAATAATAATAATGCTAAACTTTTTAAAACGGCCCAAATATACAGTATATAAAAAAAGTTAAAAAGTATAATTTCATTACATTACAATCATATTTTTATTTTGAGAACGCATAATAAAGGATTAAGCCTGTGACATGCAAATAAGATTACTGATGAAGAAAGTGTTCACCAAAACAACTTGGTGCAAACTTTATGACCAAACTGAGGGTAGGTTATAAAAAATTCATGAACTGTTCAGAACCAGATTTCAAATGTTGATAAAGCAAACTAAGTACAGTATATATTCAAATAATCCTGCCTCACATGAAAGAAAAAGAAAGCATTTTGAAAATAAAAAACAACAGACCGTTTCAAGAATGAATTCTTAAAAAAATAAGCAGCTATTTTTATAACACTGAAAACATAAAAAAAACGGTTGCATGAAATTTCATTTAGTTATTCTCATGCGCAGATATATGGCTTGGAAAAGATGCAATAAGAAAAACAATCAAACATACACAAGATCATCTTTTGGAATTACTGTACTGCCTTAATTTCTTCAAATTTAAAATAACTTAGAAATTTCACATCTATTTCTGCATAGAATTTACAAATCTCTAGCATAAATAGTTGCTAAATTATATGGTTCTGCGTGATGAAAAACATTATCTTAGTTATTGAAGACGAAGGTTTATTCCTTATTCTTAAAATCACTCGGAAAGTTAACCATATTTCAGACTGTTAAATATGTAAGTCTACTCGGAATTCGACTTTGGATTGGCATTGAATTATTAGCCTACCAATTTACTCAGCTTTTTTTTCATTTATCTCTTAGAATTTTGATATTATAAACATCATTCCGCTTTCACTGATGTAGGCCACTTAACCTTGGCATATTCCCTATCAAACATCCGCCATATTGAATAGCTTTGCTTTCAACTAGATTTCTAATTATTTATGACGATCTTGATAAAAAAAAGTGGTACAAACAATATTTCATATTAAGTAAGTGACCAAATCACATTTTGTGCAGATTATATGTCCGTCACCGGACACGTGGTTACCTAATTTGGCGGTAAAGTTCGTGACACTAAAAAAACTAGGACACTCTTATCTATTATAATCTCTATTTTTTCGTAACGGGATTATTTTATGTTAAAATTTATACTGACAAAATTAAAAAATCGAATATTCTGATGAAAATTCATTACTTTGAGACAATACAAGTCATATACCTACATATATGTAAGTATCATTCATTAATTGGAGAAATATTTTTGCATGCGAGAGTAAACAAGATTCTGCTCCGAGGGTCGTTTCCATTCATTGAATCGCCGAGCAAAGTATAGATTCACAACATTTTATTGTGAGAAAATAGGCTTAATAATCTTCTTTACAGTCTTTTAAATTATTCACTGAAAGACGAATTTGGGCCAATCTACAGGACACCAGCAGAAAGAAAGAAAATTCTCGCTACGATCCAAAAATAGATGGACCACACACCGCCTTGATTGAATTTCAGTCTTTCTGGGTCACAAACCAAGATGGCGGCGAGGGGCGCCAAAGGATGTTCAACGTAAATACCGGTAAATGAAGCACTTTTTAGAAAATACACAACGAATTATTTTCTTTGAGTAAACTAAATAAAATGAACATACCTTCTACCCATAGCTTTTGCACATCCGTTTCTATCCGTACTGATTTTAAACCAACACAACACAATGATAATAAAAGAATTCCGACGAATAAAACTTTTCCACAGTGTAATTGTATAAAACATCCAATACTGTATAAATATCTCTGGATATTTTTTCTAACCCATAATGCATATTTATTTCCATCTGCTTTGCCCTGTAAACATAGAAAAAAAAGCAATTATACAGTAGTAAATACTAAACTATCAACGTTAGGTGTATTATATGCATTCAAATGTGCATGACCTAAATAGTTGATATCGGACAACATGTTTATATTTCACATGTAGCTTTATATATTAGGATGTACAACAGTTGTCTTTAGATGAAAATTAACTCATATTTGTTACTTTAATATCATGTAAGCTTAAAAATTAAGAAAACATCTATACATTTTGCCCTCTTGGGAGCCTCTTTCCATTCACCACATGTTGGTTTTCATGTATAAAGAATGTAAGGGAGGTTGAATAAAGAAAACTCACCTTTTTCACTTGTTTGTATGCAACTTTGGCATTTACCCAGCTAGGTCTGTTTAAGTATTCCAAGTCCAGATATTTGTTGGACCTCTTCTTTCTCGCTGAGGCCATTGTAAGACCCTACGAGAAAAGAAGGGAATGAATGAGTTAACAAAATCCTCAATCACATTTAAGTAAGTCCCATCAAGTTAATCTCTTTAAACTACATCCTATGTTTTAGTTTTTGAGTGACACATAGTCATCCACATGATCAGAGTTAAACAGTTACATGTTATATTATACAATTTTTCCATACTAACAACTTCATTTACACAGGTATTTTCATACTGAGAAGCAAATGTTACTATTCTGTACTGTTCACATAGAAAACATCCATACATTTGGATTGTCGCCCCGCCTAGGAAAGGTAACTGACACCGGTACAAGCGGTATATACGAGCGATGATTGGTTGCGTATGATGGTGGGCCGCTCCCCGCGTACAAGTTCGACATACGGTTGCATGGCAACGCTCCCCGTGGTAGTGGACCACCCAAGCTGCCTCGAACCTCCGCGATGAGAAATAAACAAGGTTTAGCTGTGTACTGAACGTTTTTAATTGCTTCGTTTAAGAGAGTGTGTCATGGGCAAACGATTTCATGGTTGTTGTAATTTTTGCTTAGACATTTGCGACTTGCAAAAGCTGTTTAAAAAGATTATATATTCGATTTTTAAAGAAATAATACGACATTTTACTGATTATCTTAAACTAATAAATTTTAAACCTTCGCTTACAAAAATCTCAATTTTTTTAAAGAAAATTTTGTACATTCTTTGTTATTCGTTACAGTAATTCTATAATAAAAATGTTGAATGTCATTATTATTTTGATTAATGGCATGATTTTGAAAGCATAATGTAAGTTTCTGCTTTCCGTCGTGGGACTCTGTAAACGCTTGATTCTTGTCAATTTAAGCCATTAATCAGTCGTTGAGAGATGTGCATCTGGTAACTATGAGTATGCAAGTGCAAACGTTTCCTAACACTTCTACCAAAACACCTTGATAGTTCACATTCTATTAAACCATTGCTGATTTAACTTTCACCTTTTTTACAGAGATGTAATCAGAATTGGTGATTGCTGTTCGGCAAGAATTCATCACGGCGCGTAATTAATGGTCGGTTAGAAAATACATAGCGTTACATAGCGATGTAGAATTGAGAGTTATATGCCGGGTGGGCTTTGGAATAGTATCAACAATGTCAAAGATCGTAGCTTCGGAAAGGTATTTTCATCCTCAAAAATCCTCTGCTCAAAACGGAATGTTTACAAAACGGCTTGAGGAATTCGTATACATAGAAAAAATAACCAGATTATATATATCTGCACTTCAGTGCTTACTAATATAAATCTCTTTTTCTTTCTTTCTTATTTTCTTGTATTACCTTTAAAAACGGAGAATGAAAAATGCTGTGATAAGTGAAGAAGATGTGGCATTCTTAACGGAATAGAAACTGATATTCTATGGGAATTTCGATATCAAGCCTCATTTGATTTCAAACAATTCAACTGTCCTCTTTCTTTTAAGTGAACGTTGATTGTTGAATTTGAATTAATTTTAAAAGATCTTTTCAATATTTGCCAAGAATGCAGCATAATGAATATATTTATCAATTGTTTTTAGTTTATACACATGTACAACTTTATAAATATATAGCTCGAAATCGATGGAAGTTTGCATCTGTATTTTTATCATCGACCTTTTGGTTTCTAAAGACGTATTAGCAATTCTTGCGAGTTTTAAACTGACGGTTTCCCAAAGGGGGTTTCTACATGTTCACGGTTAAGGCCCTGCATTGATGTACATTGTAAACAACAGCCTTCACTTTTTTTTAGAATCTGACGCTCAAATTGGCACTACAACTTAATTAAGCATAAGTGTTAATCAAGTGAAATGCCGTTGTCAGTCAGCTTTGGTTAATCACATTCATTTGTTTAATGGTTTGAAACATGAAAATAATGTTTTATAGATGTATGTACTTCTTATTAGGACAAGCCAAGTTAAAAAAACTAGTTACATGAATATAAAGTGTCAGTGACCGGGTAATGTATAATGCTTAAGTTTGTAATGACTGCCCGATGTCTTTGTTACACTTTTCTAACTTAATATATATGTTGCTAGATAACAATAGTGTTTTGCTTTAACTGTTGATTACATGTTTTTGACTTGTATTCTAGAATAACGAAACAGTATAATTTTTTTGTTATAATATATTTTAAAATGTAGAAAAAAAACCCACAAAAACAAAAGAAAAACAACAAAAAACCAACATATTCTGTTCAGTTATCAAATGACCACAAGTCATGGAGATAACGACGCATACATTTTAGGCATTTGTTAAGAGGAAGACCCTCACAATTTAGCCATTCGAAAGAAAGCGGTGGATACAAAAAGGAACTATACCTGTTAGAGGTATGGTCGAGTTTTATAATAAACGGCCATCGGTTGGATGGTCGAAGGCAATTTACCCATTGGAAATTAATCACATAATTTGCCATGACAGAACTTTTATTCCACTTTCAAAAGAATAGAAGGTATCATATATATATGATAAGTATATTCCAAAATTCTTTCAAACACCGCCGATCCGGTAGTTACTAGTACATAAACATATTGATGTTCATGTCAATATTAAAATTGTATTACGTTATTTATACAAGCGGTATCACAAGTATCATAGAATATCTTTTGGCATATTACAAATGAAAAAAATATATTCTAAATTGATTAGCAATGCTAATCAAGAGGACATTAGGTACATTTTGTAACACTGACTCGTTAGTCGCTGTAATTCTATTCAAACCTGTAATCATCTTGTTATGTTTGCTATACGGAACTTTGATTTTTAGATAGATTTGTTATTGATATCGCTGATTTTAAATATTTCCACAAATCATCAACATAAAGTAAACACATTTTATCAGAAAACAAAGTTCAAACTGCAATGAAAATTAATTCGTAACAATATTTAATGTATATGGAAATCATTCATAATTAAAGCTCTTTGGAAACAAACTACGCAATGGAAAAATATTAATATTTTCTACGAAATTCTGTTATTCTTATTAAAATATTCAGCATTCAGAAAAGTTTTAAATTTGAACCACAGTATGAAAGTTATGATTGGTTATATTTCATTTTTTTCAGGAAAAAATAGTTATGTTTCTACCAAAGCGGGCAGACGACAAACGTAACTTTGCAATTAAAGAAAACTCGATATTACAAAATGGCCTTAATCAGACACTCTATACAAAAGAATGATTTTACCTTAATACAAGACCATGGTTAATATCAAACTGGGAAACCGTGCAAAGAGCAGGAATTGTTCATGTTAGCTCGTGCTTTAAGTTTATATATGTTTATAAAGGGAGATAAGGTGAATTGACATGTGAGGTACGTAACGTGTATTTCACGCTCTTGTTTTCGGTGTATAACCTAACTTGTCAATGAAAAATATGCATTTGCAATTTACACCCTTTGATATGTTGTATTTAAGTGCATTTTGTTAGTTTGGTGCAACACTACTGTATTTGATAACGTTTGTTGTGTTACTTACAACCGTTTTGCAGCGAGAACATGATATGCTCCTTGTGCTTCTGACATTTAAAGGTCGAATGCCATAGAAATAAAGGAAACCAAAAAAAGAATACTTAGTATACATTTAAAACATTCATAAGTTACAAATGTGCAAAATTAATTAATAAATAAATAAAGCACTTTTAAAGAATTTTCTTAAACAATTCAGCTTATAAAATAGTTTCAGATGAATTACATATATTTCGCTCACAAAATAATTGCACAAATGTTCCAGTATGATGAAAATGTATGTAATTATTTCATTATATAGTTAGTGCTGCAGCCCTAACGGACGTCGATGGGTTTTGCAAAGTTTTTACCAATTAACTCGCATAAAATAATTGGAGCCAGATAAACTTCGGGTCAACCTCGTTCATAATATGCTTGAATCTATAACCTTTAGGGGTAGTTATTTAATTAGTTCTGCATGGTTTAATGGAATTTGGCATGCTACAGGGTGCTTTATCGCTGGAGAACCCATTATGACATTTGAATATTAATTAGTACTCGTGGTAAATATCTTGTAGGAGGTTTCACGATTGGAGAACGTTTACAGATTTGTTGCACGTGATCCTACGAGAAACCATGAACTTAAACATTTAACAGATCACCAAAGGAATTAAGTTTATTCTTATATAGATTCAAAGCAAATTTGTGTCAGAAAATTGTCATTTGAGCACAAAACGTTTGAACAATTTGTATAATGAAAAAATGGAAACCTTTTAGGACTCCCGGAACGAAGAAAATTAAAATGTTGCAGGCTTGGTTTGATTGAGTCATATCATGGACGGATTTAAATGCAAGTCACCGTTTTTGACCACTCCAAGTCACCGGTTTAGGCAGATCCCAACAGTTAAATGTTAAATAAATAATATAATGTGTTTATATCATATGGAGTATAGCATGTATTTGTTTAATTGATTCCAACATAAACATATCAACAGTAATGACAACATTTTGTACACTGTTTCAAAATACTTATATATACTATTAAACATCTGGCATATCAGCATATTGCTTCATGTATAATACTTGTTCTTGAAAGTGAAAATTGTTTGACGAAACCTTTCGTAAACATTTTAGAATATAATTTAAAAATGACATTGTGGCTGCATGCGCTACTATGTTCTGTTTGTTTTGATTTTCCTTTTTTTAAGCGAAAATGTATTGAAAATGAACACTACATTTATACTCGACACTCTTCCACGTTACTTCTACTTTAGTTTCAATATTAAGAAAGTCCAAACTTTGCCACTTTTATAAATAATATTTTAGTTCCCAAATGTCAAATTTTGTTTCATCAAAACATTAAAATTGGTCAGAAGCATTGTCTTAAAATTGTATGTATACTCGGTTTGTAAGTTATCAAAATTATCTTGATGTTTATTATATATTACACTAAACAAAATAAAACTTGTATTCTGGTATTTAATCATTTCAGCTTCTTATTTTAATAATAATATAAATGTAAAACACACGTTTTTTTTTAAATATTGAATAATAATTTCAAAATATGTATTGACTCACAGAGTATCATGATCGGAGAGAACAAACAGATACTTGCAAATCGTGTTTGGTGTTTGTATTAACTCTACTGATTATGACACAAATTATCAAGGAGAAACATGTACCGTGGTAAAAGTAAAACATAAAATTATATTACAGTAATCGCACAATTTATATATATATAATATATATAATTTATTTCCTCCAAATTTATAAATATATATTAATATATATTTATAGACCAGTGCATTTTATTTTACTAATATTATTGTGCAAAATAAAATGTACCAG